ATGCCGGGGTTACTGTTCTCATCGCTGCTTAGTTTCTGTTTTTTCGCCGGCATTTCTTTTCCCGCTTGAGACGGGGAGTCTGTCATGCTCTTGTTTTCTCTCATTACGGCTTTGCCTCCTACTACTCTTCTTCTTCTTCGTGGGTTCTTTGGCTGAGAAGCGCCTTAGCGCCCCTACTGGTTAGAAAGAGCAAAAATATACACTTCACTTTTTAATTTTTTCCAACTTCAAATTTTGTAATGTTGAAGCTAAATGTTCCCTGAAGCATGATATGTTATTTTTGGTCTGATGGAAAGAGCTAGAAAGCTACAATAGGGCTGAATTGGGACCATAAAGTTTATTAGAAAGAAAACAAATATTACTTAAAAAAACGTTGCTAAAAAAAAAGAAGCCTAAAAAAGTTTGTTCAAAAGGAAAAGAAAAGAAAAAACAAATTACTGGTAAAAAAAATAAAATAAAACTTTTGAGAAATTTTTATTTTTTATTTTAAACAAACATGTTTTTTGGTGTTTGAATTTCTTTTGAATATTTTATTCAGGTATACATTTTTTTCAAAAAAAAAAAAAATTGTGCCAGTTTACATTTTGTCTCCCCATTCATCTGTTTTTTTTATTCTTTTTTTTTTTTTTTTTTTTTTTTACAAACCTTATGGGCCCAATTTAGCTCCACATGAATCAATTTAATTATTATATTTGGCACATTTTATTTGCATAATTGTACTTTTTTTCTATCATTCTCCCTTTAAAAAAAAAAAAAAAAAGCTTTTGTTAAGGAAACTGAGCCTTATTTATCCAGTTTCCCAAAGTACAAAAAAAGCTGTAAGCAGATATGAATGTTTCAGGTTATTACATGTTTTTTAATTAAATCATATCAACTTAGTTTTTCTTTTTTCCTTTTGGTACATATGTACTTCCCATAGAAGCAAATATCCCTGGCATACTTTTGAATATTCTGTTCCTTTAAAAAAAAATAAAAAATCTGTCTACAAAGATGTTTACTAAAAAAAAATTATGGTGGAACACATGTGACACAATTGCTTATGTTATGAATATAATTAAATGTGAAATATATTTATCTAATACATAGACACGATTAAATTATAATATGCACATAAAAGTATTTAAATATCCCTGTAAATAACCAAAGACATATATCAATGAAATTAGAAAATGTATTTGAAATTGTTTTAATGACTTCTTTTCATAGCAGCAAAATAGGGAGATTGTTTATACATGGTGGTATATACCTTTAAATTCCCTCTAACAGTTCAAGATAAAAGAATCAATCGCAGGAGATCAGCTATTGCAATAAAACATAATTTATAATTTTCCTTACCACTTTTAAGTTATTTTAACTATTTTAATGTTTAAAATTACTCTAATTTTTTGGGTTTAAACACCTCTTAAAATCTTACCATCCTCTCCTTGTAATCAAGTTTTATTCTTTGCGTCTCCTTTTCATAAAAGGTGCGACACAAAGTGATTTTCTTTCCATCTTGGTATACAGTTATTAACACAGCCATAGGCTCCACGATGAAGAAAACCTTTAGTAGCAACAAGAGGTTTGCAGATTAGATTTTCAACATAACTGACATCAAAACTTGGATAAAATGATTAAAGTAAACATTTTTGACAATAAAGTGAATTTATTATAAAAACAAACTGCATATGAGTCATACATAAAAGCACAGAGAAACTAATATGAAGTCAACATTAGATACAGGCTACAGCATCAGGTCTGTCTCTTCTACAGAAGCTTGGCTCATCCCTTCATCTTCATCATCATCCTCCTCCTCAGCGGGCCTCTTAATGCCCTTCTGTTTTGAGAGCGCCACTGCGTAGTGGATGTTATACATGTTGAAGTCGCATCTGTAAGGAGAAAACCGATTAGAAAACCTTCTTTTTTTGGGATTAGAGTCAGAAAAACGAAACGTACAGCTTGGATAGATTGTCGAAGTGTCTCTGGATGCTCTTCTGCAGCGACTGCAGCGTTGGGACGATGGATGCAGACCTGGAAAGTAGAGAAAATTCAGTATCTGGGGACCATTAGAGGCAGCGGGAGGAACCAGGAAATGTGTTTCTACCTGTTCTTGAGTCGCTGCCCGTGCAGCATGAGCAGGTTCTGGGCCCAGCTCATGTAGAATTGCAGGTGACTTGATTTCTCCAAGCAGGAAGCCACAAAGCCAAGCAGCTTTTCCACGTAAATGTCAGGCAGAGATCCGCAAACCACCGGAACTGGAGAATAAAAGCACACAAAGGATCTGAGCTATGGAGGGAAATTTGTTCCACTATTGCTGCCAGCAAAGACAGCATTAACAAAATGGAAATCTGAACAACAAAATAATAATGCAATACAGAAGTTAAACTTTAAGAAAAAAGCCCAATAAAAAAGGTTTCTGTTATCTTAATGTTTTTCCACAATATAAACACAAATTAAATATAATAAAATTCTATTTTTCTTCCAAGTTTATTTTTCAAAAAAAAGAAAAAAAATCTTGTTTTATTTGTTTTTCCCACATGTTTAGCTTTATACGGAGCCCCTAAAGGGACATGGAGGAAAAAATAAACTTTTGCGAGATCTCGCAAAAAATAAGCTCTTGCGAGATCCCGCTAAACGTTTTGCCATGTCAGTGAACTGGAAGTAAAACAGAGACACAACAGTGGAGGTGCAAAGTGTACTGCTATGGGAGGATAATACATCCATGTGTCAGCTACAACCATGGAGGATGATTTGGAGAGGTTCTTAATTTCTAGAGAAGTCCCGAAAACACGACATTACATGAATGAAGAGAGACAAGGTCAGTATGCAATCCTACGGAGCCCCTAAAGGGACATGGAGGGGGAAAAAAACTTGCGAGATCCCGGAATACTTTTGCAAGATCTTGCAAAACTATTGCGGGATCTCGCAAGTTTTTTTCCCCCTCCATGTCCCTTTAGGGGATCCGTAGATTTACCCTATTTTGCCATTTACTTTTTATTTTTCAAATGCTTAAATTTAATTTCCGCCTTTTATTTTGCACAATTAATTAATTTTTATTTTTATTTTTTCAAATTTCACCTTTTCAGATTTAGTTTTGTCAATTGCTTACTTAACAAAATTCGGTTATACAGATCATTGATTTAAGATGCGTTCCTATAGGTTCTACACGTAATGTGGCATTAAAGAAAGAATAAAGAGAATTTTTTTTTCTATTCTTTTCTTTCACCAGTAATGGAAAAAAAATCATCAGGTTCATGAAGACCTAAAAGATAAATAGATGAAGCTGAACCCACTCTGCTGCTGTGGAACTGTTTCCAGCACCTCCTGTTTGAGTGCGTTTTCATTGAGCCTGAACGCCAGGACAATGGCCGACGCCCACTCCTGGAGGCGGAGCTGCTTGCAGATGCTGGCCGGCGTCACGTCCAGGTCCAGGTCGTACGGGTCGAAAACCAGGGACCCGTCCAGGGAGTAGACCAGCAGGCCCTCGGTAGTGGCGGCTGCCCAGCTGCGCCCGGTCGGAGAGAAGCGCAGCGAGCTGACCCGGATCTCCGGCTTGAAGTGGCGGGAACTCATGTCGCCTTTAACCAAACGGACGCCATGTTTACTCCACCGGTATGATGAAAACTCAGAAATCTAAATTAAAACCAAACTACCTCTTCTGACTCCAGGCAGGCTGATGTCCACCCCGTCTTCATCTCCGGCGGCGTCGTCCACCAGTGCAAGGCTGCCGAACTCCGTCATCTTCCGCCTGTCCAGGAACTCCTGCGGGAGAAACAATGCATCACAACCGCTCCTACGCCCCCCGCCTCATGCGGCCGGGAGAGAACCTTTGATTTTACCTCCATGGCGTCGAATGACAGGTTGCAGGAGATCTCAAACTTCTTCATCAGCATCTGCTCCTGGACGTTGTAGATGCAGACGAACTTGGAGTGTCCTCCCGCCAAAACAGACTCCCCGTCAGCAGAGTAACACAGAGACGTGAAAGACCTAAACCGAAGAAAACAGCGGTTAAAAAAAAACACAAAAACCAGAGCAAAAAGGAACGGAACCCGACGTTTGAATCGCTTTCACTCACTTTCCCTTGGCGGACTGCTTGGCTGTGATTTTATCCGTCTCCTTGCGGCCGACCTCCAGGTCGTGGCGTCCGGCGATGGAGCCGGTCTGCGCGGCCGTCTGGGGGTTCCAGAAAGAGATTTCTCCGTTCAGAGTGGCCACAGCCAGCTGCTGCCCGTCAGGGCGATACGTCACACACAGACCTGTGGACGCACAAACAAGAAATAGAGAAAACGACTTTTATTCTGTTTTAATGGTCAATGCTGGATTTTTACATCAAAATCCTCTTCAAGAACGAGAACAATCAAAGCTGAACTATTACCTCAGATTTCTACAAGAGTTTAATTCTAACAAACTTATCGAAATAATTCAAAATCTGAAATTTTATTTTCAAAGTCGTTCTGAAATCTGATTTAAATCCATCAGTTTTAAGAGAGACGGAAACGAAGTTGAACTCATTCCGACTCCTTTTATTTCTCAGGGGGGTACGCATGAGAATTAGCTTTGGATGCAGCGTTAGCAACGTTAGCAGCTAGCCATAGCTTGTTTACAATCTTCTCTTAGACAATGTATAAAAAGTTAAATGACCAGCAGCATCTATTATCATCCATCATTTTTTTTAAAGTGCAAACAAACTAATGACAGGGTTCGAAATTAATATATAAAACTACATCCTATCTTAATTTGTCAGAGCACACGAGGCAGATATTTATTTTGGATTTTCAGTTTTAATTAACTACGATAGTCCACCGATGATGGGGGGGACGTGTTCGTCGTCTTCATCATCGGTGGACTATCGTCCACCCCCCCCCCCCACACGTCTCCTCGGATGATCAAAGTAAATTACTCTTCTGCCATGGCGTAGTAATATAACCAACCAGAGGGTGTCGCAATTCAGTATTATCAGCCGTAGAGTCATCAATGCTGTTTTAAGGTCCGGGCCTGGCAATGAATTAAAACTTCGGGGGTTTTTTGGAACGTTAGCGAGGCGGTAGCGTGAGTTTGGCGAGGCGGCCGCCTCGCCAAGATAGTGCTGCGGGAAACATTGCAATACTAACATTACATTATCACACCGTACTCTCAGTCACTATGACTTACCCTTCATGTGACTCGAGAGCGCAGACTCGCCCATTGTGAAAAGCTGCACATCTTTTTTGCAGACTTTACAAGAGGAGACTCGTGGGGTTTGTACCCGTTTAATCCATAATTTGTATTTTTCATCTTCCAGCCAACGTTCATTGAAACGACAACCTCCCGGCATGGTGCCGTATTAATTTCATGGGGGCGGGGTCACACATGGAAATAGACTGGCAGATCGCAGTCACACATAAGCGAGCAGGTTTCATTTTCGGGCTCTCCAACATTTTTTTTCTCCATTTAATAAACACACGATTCAGCTAGATAGATTATTTGTTGCGAAAGTAATAGTTACAATTTCAAGCATTTTCAAGCATTTCATCCAAAATATAAGCACTTTTCAAACCTTGAAAACACAACGTCAAAATTCTAGCATTTTCAAGGATTTCCAGCACCCGTACGAACCCTGTAATGATATCATTTTTCCTCTTTTATTGATTGATTCCAACTTATTTTTCCTTTAAAATTAATTATTTTTTCCTTTATAATCTTTTGTTAAACAGATTTAATATAAAATCATTTTTTTAATTTTTATTTATAATTCAAATCTGCCTGAATAAAAATGAACTGCATTCACATTTTCCTTTCTGCTGGAGGTTCCTTGAACGTGCAGAAACATTTTCTTCCTAAATAATGAAATATTATTAATAGATTGTTTGATGCTCCTTCAATAATAAGTGATTTAAAACAAACTTTATTGATAAAAATAAAAAGCTCCGAACTGCAGGAAGGAATACATCCTAAATAAAATCCTTCAAGAAACAAAGTTTGCAGGATTTCTCGCATTTCTCCTACTTAACCAAACTGTTTCAGCTTATAAGCGAGACCTTCCGTGTGTTTTCCTTTAAAATTAATTTTTTTGCATCAAAACTGTGAATCCATCATTTGCTTTTTGACATTTCGTGTGATTTTTAGTTACCGTATTTTCACGACCATAAGGCGCACCGTACTAAAAGGCGCACTCTCAGTTATGTGTCCCATTTCTGTATTTAACACACACATAAGGCGCACCGTACTATAGGGCGCGTTTTTTATATACAGGTACATGTCCTCTACTACCTTTAAATACCTCTACTGCGTATTTAAAAATACAGCGGGGGCAAAACTGAGTATGACTGTGCTTTATTCATGTATTTATTACAAAGTATTAATCAAACCTGGCAGCTGGCCGTGAGACAGACACATCGCAGATGACACAGCGCTGTGGTCACTCCTAAATTAACTTAAAATCCTGAAACCTGCCGACGGAATATGTTCGCTTTTATTACCGGTATCCTGGTGCCTGCAGTTTAAATTATTTAGATGAAAAACACCTGCCCAGCCTAGAGGCTGCTGATGAAGGGATTTCTACTGTCGGTGCACCGCTGGTATGTGGGGGTCTGAGCGCCTCCGACAGAAATAGATAATCTGGATGAACTGACTGCAATTAAGTTTTCAGGTGGCCTTTCTCACTTAAAAACATATTAAAACTACTTTATTCCCACTGATCACAGCAAATATAGCTGCAAGATTTAGATTATTTAGATGAAAAAACACCTGCCAGCCACCGCGGTGAAGAGGAGGAGACCCGCCCAGAGGCTGCTGTTGAATTAAGTTTTCAGGTAGAAAAATAGAGCGGGAGCAAAACTGAGTATGATTGTGCTTTATTCATGTATTTATTACAAAGTATTAATCAAACCCATCAAAGTCATCATCCTCTGTTTCTGAATTAAACAGCTGCGCTAAATCAGACATGCCAGTTTCCCCTTCTTCGCTGTCAGAGTCACTTTCCGTGCAGCGCGGCTCCTCAGAAATAATGCCGGCTTTTGCGAAAGCTTGAACAACAGAGCCAGCAAACACGTTAGTCCAAGCATCAACAATCCATCCGCTAACGGTGGCGTAACTTGCCCGGCGCTGCCTTCCACTTATCCTGAAACTGTGGTCTCCGTCTGTCATCCATCGCTCCCACGCCGCTCGCAGCCTTACTTTGAACGGCCGCTTCACACCGATGTTGAGCGGTTGAAGTTCCTTTGTCAGACCCCCCGGGATAACGGCGAGCACAGCGTTCATTTGATTCACCATGTTTTTCTCATCAGCTGTGAGATGGGCACGCATTGAGTCACAGATTATGGTGATGCGTGGAAAAAAACACCTGGTCTCCTTACATACACCTGCCTCAGCCACGCTTTCATCATCTCCTCATCCATCCAGCCTTTTTCATTTGCGTTAATATCATATGTCATCAGAGCTCTGTGTCTGTCTCGCTGTCAGCTCCCAGATCAGCTTCTCTGATTGGTTGATGCGGTGCGTCCAGCAGCAAAACTTCAATTTTTCCATCTCGAGCAGCAGCAGCGCGTTGGCGGTGCGTCAGATGCTTAAACGCTCCTGCTGCTCAAAACGCGCTGCAGGACCTTTTGCTGCGCCTATACGCGCGTCAACCATTGACTTTGCATGTAAACTCGCTGCTTCTGCTGCACCTGCTGGGTCCGGTTCACACCGATGTCGAGCGGTTGAACAGCGAGCACAGCGTTAATTTGTTTCCCCATGTTTTTCACATCAGCTGTGAGATGGGCACGCATGGAGTTACATATTAACAGCGATGGTGATGAGTGGAAAAAACCACCCGGTCTCCTTACATTCAGCCACTCTTTCATCATCTCCTCAATGAGGTGGTCTCAAAAGTCGCAGTTACAACACACATAGGGCGCACCGCACCATAGGGCGCACCGCACATTTTGAGGGGAAAAAAAGACGTTTAAGTGCGCCTTATAGTCGTGAAAATACGGTATTTATATTTTTAAAAAATTTAATAATATTCAGATTTTTACCTCAAAAGTGTTTCAATTTGTACATTTTTCTTCTTATTTTAAAATACTGATAAAAGATTTTGATAAATTCGGATATTGAGTTACCAGGTCACTTAATTATTCCAACTTTTCATGTTTTTTTCCCCTTTAAAATGGTGAAAATAGTTTAATTTTAGCATAAAAATTGTGATTCCATCATTTTTTGGAAATATTTTGAGTGTTTTTTTTACCTTGTAAACATTGACAAATATTCATACTTTTACTTCAAACTGTATAAATTAGTACTTTTTTTAAGTAAAAATGATACATTTTCATAAATTGGGATTTTATTTGACAAAGTTTTTATATATTTATCATATTTAGTTGTTTTTTTTAAATAAAGTTATCTATATGTGTAAACAGTAATAATATTCAAATAATATTCAGACTTAAAAACTGTTTTAAGTTTCTACATTTGTCGTCTTATTTTAAAGTAAAATGTTCATAAATTCGGTGTTATTTTCAAATATAAAATCACCAATTGAAGTGAATCTATGCGTTTATCTCTGGTGCCCTCTGCTGGCAGGAACAAACATCTCATTGTTTCTTTTACCGTCTGATGTCAGAGGGAGCGTCTCTTTGACCTGCCAGCTGTCCAGCATGTCCCACAGTCGGACAGTACGGTCCCACGAGGCGCTGGCCAGGACAGACTGGACCGGACTGAAGCTCAGGCTGCTGACTGGACCCTCGTGTCCTGAGAGGACCTGCTCAGCCCAAGACAATGAGAGTCTGTTTTAGCCCTTCTAGAACCACGGTAGGAAGAGCAGAGTTATAAAACAAGGGGAAAAGTCTTTCCTACCTCCAGCAGCCGACCGGTCTGCATGGACCAGAGGAAGATCTCGAAGGAGTCCTGCGCTCCGGCGCTCACCAGCTCTCCGCTCACATCGACTGCCAGCGAGGAGAACTGCGCCGGCCGAGGAGACGTGAACGTCCGGAAGTTTCGATACCTGCCGTCAAAAATACGCACCTTTAAACCCCCCTTCTTTTATTGATTTTTTCCTTTCCTTTCTGCGACAGATTTCCGTCACCTGTGCAGGTCGAACGCCCTAACGGTGCCGTCCAAGGAGGCGCTGGCGATGACGAAGCCGCTGGAGGTGAAGGTGACGCTGGTGACGCTGCTGGTGTGCTCGGTGAAGGTGACAAAGCAGAGCCCGCTGTTGGTGTTCCACACTTTCACCTGAAGGAGCAAAACACAGGAAGCGCTTTGGAGAAAAATGTTCCAGCAACCTCACTTCCTGCTGGTGTTCTGGACTCACTTTCCCATCATCCCCTCCTGTCACCACGTACTGCCCGTCTGGAGAGTAAGCCAGAGAGGCCATGTTGTTGAAGTGACCCTGCTGCTTGAAGACGTACGATTCGCTCTGCCACTCCCACACCAGCAGCTGACCCTTCCCTAAAGGAAAACAAAAATACGAGGCGTTTAATTACTTCCTAGTTAAAGACGGCCACATAAAGACAAAGAGGCGAGCTTACGAGAGCATCCGAACGCAATCCAGTCTCCGGAGCTGTTTATAGCCACTGAGGCGATCCTTTGGTCTGAGATGCTGCAAAGACAGAAATCCTGATCATCAACCTGCTTCCTGTTAAACGATCCGATCAAAAACCAAGCGGCACCTCAGCGAGTGAATCAGGTTGAACTCGGGCAGTTCGTGCAGGTGGAATATTCCCGAAGCGAAGCCGGTGACCAGGATGTGGGTGGGTTTATGGTAGGCGGCAGCCGTCAGGTTGTTGAACTCTCCCTCCTTGTTGAAGAAATGTCTGGAAACGCAAAAAAAAGTACCGCAGATACGGTTAAAAGTTTATACGCTTCTTTGATTTGACCATAAATCAACATTTAGATGCTGTTGATTAACAGGCCAAGAATGGAAATGTTTCATTTCTATGGAGTGAGTTTTGTTCCGTTATTTTTGCAAGTAAAAACATGCTCTGTAAATGAACATTTTAAAAATGTAAACATTTCTAATTGAAAATTTTTGTTTTTGAGGGAAGAAAATCACAGCAATCGTGATCTTTAGGTAAACACCAGTCGGGATAAACTGAATTCACTATGAAGCAGATTGAAAATATGGCAACTGAGGGTTCAAGCAAATACAGGACAGAACCTAAATATCTGTAAAAGGGTTTTATAAGGGAAAGAAAAAGTGACTTACTTGCTTATCTGCTTGTATCGAACATTTTTAATCTTGCTATTGGTTTTTGGAGTTTCCGTTTTCCCTCGGATCACCTCCCCTTCCTCTCCTTCCGCCCTCTCCTCTTCCTCCTCGTCCTCCTCTGGTCTTGCCGGCTTGCTTTTGTCAACGCTTTTCTTCAGAACCAGGCCGTCCGGCTCGGTGTCGCTTTCCCAGACGCACAGAACTCCGT